CCCCCCCCCCCCCCCCCCGCCATTTTCCAAGTTTTCCATCAAGATACTGTCCTAAAGGACACTGTACTTTTTGCTTTTCAGTGCTGGCTCATATTGCAGTTTACCTAGCATCTCTAGGTACAAGCATCCCTTAAAGTAAAACATCACACTGCTATGTAATTTAAAAAAACCCTAACTCCACACATGGTTAAGTGAAGTGAGCTGCTTCACTGTATGAAACCAGTACCTAGAAATACATTTTCAATCACCTGCCACTGAAACGTGAGTGGAAGACTGCAGGTAAGTGGTGCAGAACTAGAAGCAGTAAAACCACGGAGACTAAAATCATTCATGGAGATAGGGACCGAAGGGTTGTGGACTTACGTTGCTCTGTAGAGATCAAAACGCCCCTTGTCTTGTATGTGGAACATCAGGTCTCCCCCGTTCAGGAACTCCATAACGAAGAACAGGTGATCCTGTTTGCAAATAACCAGAGAATGGAAAAATTACTGATGCTATTGCAACTGTATATGAAGTAGCCATGTGGCTACTGGTGACCAAACAGCCACTTTCCTCCTCTCCTGAAGTATTTCTCTATTTCATGCACCCCTAAGAGTGTATGAGGCTCCTACAGGTTTGAGTAGCCTGGAAGCTCAGTAGCTGATCTATTCTGTGGATTTCTCGACTTAATGAAAACACACATTTAAATAGACTTACTGACTTCTACCTGTGACAGTCGTCTTTTTCCCCCTCACTGAGGGTAAAGCTAAGATCAAGGATTTAAATTAAACTGCCTCTTACTCCTGGTTGCATAGATGTTTTTCTGATCTCATTCTGTTCTCATCAACGTATGTGGGAGTCATACTCGTAGTTACTTTCCACAAGGCCTGTGAACTACTGCACAGAGCACAAGAGAAGGAAGTTGAATTCTTGCATCACTAAGTTACTTTCACTTGACTGCAGGTAAGAGCATCCATTAAAAGGCTAAATCTGTTGCGTTGCTGTCACCACTGGGCTTTTTTTTTACCTTTGTCTGAAACGTGCAGTAAAGGTGCGTGAGAAATGGGTTTTCCCATGCAAGTGCGAGGACCCGCTTTTCCACCATGGTACATTCCACATCATCATCAATTAGCACCACATCCTTTTTCAGAGCTTTGATAGCAAAGAATTCATTCTTCCCTTTCAGCTCAGCAAGCAGAACCTACAAAAAATAAAAGATGAGATTGCAGCACATGTAGGAAAGACTGTTGCTGATGGGATCAGTAACGGAAAGTCAAAGGTGCTTACAGCAGGTGCAATGACAATTAAAAGACATTTAAATGGGAAGATGAGCAAGATACGGGAAGGTGAAGTTGCTGGGCATAGAGATGAGGAGATGGAGCTCAAGGACCACGTAACACACACAGCAGCTTCCAGGGCAGTTTTTCTGTCAACGTCTTGTGAGTGTATAAACAGAAGACGCGTAGAAGCCTGCTCCTTCATTAGAGCTGTAGTTTCACAGACAACAGCAGACAAATCTGCGGAGGTCATGCCACTCTCCCACATCTCCCCCTGCCATCGCACGGGAGCACTCCAGTTCTCTGTTTCTGTACAGAGTGTATGAACATAAAACATCCTTTTGCACTGCGGTGCATAAAGGGCAATTCCTCTGCCTTGGTACTAAATAATAGAAAAACCGTTGTGCATTATGAATCACTTTTGAGTGTAGACAAGATTCAGTGGATGAATTGCTAGTGTCTTTGACAAAGACAGCTATATTCAATTCTGTTAAAAGATTATCTACCCAAGCAGCTGTAACAGTAAGACCTTTCTGGTTAATGGAAATAGCCCATCACAGTGCAGCGATCAAGCAAGGCCATCACCTTAACCTCCGTAAGTTTGTTACATACCTTTCCAAAACTTCCTTTCCCTAGTACTTTATGGAAGACAAAGCTGTCTATGTTGAATTTTCTCCTGCTTGCAATTCGTGATGCTCTCTTGGCTGTGCTTCCCTCCCAGAGTTTATCGTACTCGCTGTTATCTGCTAATTGAAACAGGGAGTTACAGTTCAATATATGCGGAAATACTGCACGACTCAGATCCCCTGCGAAGAATTAAGTATTGACATGCTATTTCAGTGCATCTGCTGCTGGAATACTGGCGAGTCTGAACATAAGGGTCAACTCCTGTAGTTTGTAACAAAGTTTAAATTATGTGAGCATACTTGGTAGTGTTGGATTTGAATTGAATCTGTAATGGTTTTTAATGCTGGGTTTAAGCAGTACTTAAGACAGGCATTACAAAAATCAAAGGCCCTAACTTTCCCCTATAACTAAGATACAGGGCAGAATTTGGAGAAAAACATACTTTTACAAGGACTGCTTATAAACAAATTATTTTTCTTCTGTTAACAGAACAGGCTAGTCCCTCAGCCTAAGCCGAGAAGCCATAAAAAGATCTGATTTATGCCCAATGCGGCCTAAGAAGCATGATCATACGAGTTAATCCTGATTATATCCTAAAATTAATAACTGTACTTTTTTTTTTTTGACTTCTGCTGCACAGATCTGCTGGGTCACTAACAAGACACTGATGATACCATGAGATGATGCCATGTATGCCCCATAAGCTGCCCAGCATCTGCGATAACCCAGGGAGGAATCACAGTGGCTGCACCCTGACTTAGTATTAAACCAAACCACCTTTGCAAGAGTTTTTTTTCTCTGTTCTGGCAAACCAGAACAAGTATGATAATTAATACAAAAATAATTTTCTTACTGGGCATTTCAACAGAATTAGCTCAATGTATGGATGAATACATAAAATCCTGTACCACTCCAAACGCACACATTATCCCTTACTGAGCCTGGTGATTTCCATCTGGTAAAAAGTTACTTCTGCTGTTGCATTTGTTTTTGCATAAATTATCATAGGTTAGCAGTTACGAAAATAAGGCTTATACCATGCTAGACCTCTTTAGCAATAGTAAAAAAAAAAAAATAAATAAAAAACCTTACTCTGAACCTGTAGAGAGAGGATTCCAGGTACTACTTAAACTATTTCAGTCATTCAATCTCAAGTAGTATTTTGGCTACTTACATCCTACAATAGACAGTACTTATCATTGGTTTCTAATGGTTTGTGAACAAGTCAAGATAATTAACAACGTGCATGACATTTCAGTTACAGGAGGGACGGAAGCACGTCGTACGTGTGTGTCTGGTGAGCGAAGCACCCTCCAGTTCCATCACGGGGAACTGCGCTGCAGTGAGTAAAGCAAGCATTTTGCAGAAAGGTGGGTATGCTCATGGACTAAAAGCTACAGGTATTTGTCAAAAGGTATGTAAGCATTTTGTGTGGCTGGGAGAAGATAAGAAGAAATACATGCGTGTATTTTTTTAACAGCGCTTATTAAAAAAAATGGTCTAACATAAGGCAAGAATGAATAACTACTTTAATTGTTCATTTGTGTAGTCTGGTAGGTCAATGGCTAAATTAAAACACTGTAGCTTTTCTCACCTGTTGCATCTCCTCCTGGAGCTCTAGGTTTCTTATCAAAATCTTGATAAATACCAACACTTTCTACAGATCCAGAATCGGACCTTCGTGTAGATTTCTGAAGAGGAGGGAAACATTTGAAATTATATTTACACTATTACTTTAGAAATACTTGTAACAATAGCTGTTAAATGTAACATGATGGCAGTATAAACTTTTCTTTTTAATTATTAACTCCTAGTACATATCTTTTCTGAAGAAGTCTGGTTCATACACTATTTAGGCACAGTCTTTACAGCTTCAGATCAGCCAATTGTTTTACTTCCTTCACTGCAAGAAAATAAGTAATTGAAATTCCTGAACAGTCTATGTTGTATTGTTTGTTGCAAAATTATTAAAGGTAAATATCCCGCGAAAGCTTAGGAACACTCAGCTCAGAGGAAACACTGTTGGCTTTTGTGATCTATTTTCCTGTTTTATTTCAGAGCTTGTGTCTGCATCTTTATTTGCAAGTCAGAAGTCAACCACAAGAGACAGCCATGCTGGAGCAGCAGATGAACAATGTAAACTATGGGGCCAGTGTTAATTCCAGAGGAGTTTTCTGTGTGTATATATCAGATTAATAAAAATTGAGAATATCTGGTATATTTCTCCTTATTTATTTAATTTTAGCATTCAAGTGGAATTCTAAAGTTGAAGCATGGAAAAACAGACTTCAGTGTTAAGATACCACTGTTTAAACAAACAGAAAGGGAGAGAATAACCTTGGCACCACAGAAGAAAAAAGCTGGATTTCAGGAAACCACACAGCTTTTAAAAAATTCTTTGTTAGGTGGGATTCCCCCTCCCCATTTAAGCTTTATGCTATCGACATCTTTGTTAGTCTCTTTATGGGTCAAATTAAAAATGTTTCCATTTCCTCTGTTCCAAACTCAGTTCCCCATAAAAGTGATAGGGAAAAAATGAAGTAAAACCCCCAAAATGCTCTGAAAACAACTAATTACCTGACACGTGGCAATAAAGCATACCTGGCTAACTTGATTTAAAGCTTCAGCTAGCAACTTCTGGTTTATTCCACATAAGTTTGCCACCTTCTTCTGGCATTTATGATGCACATTCATCCCGCATTCTAAAAGAAATGTAAAGACGGTTATACAAGCACCAGGAAAATACTCTCTGACATTACAACGAAAAGGGCTGCTTCTCTGTGCAGTTCAGAAACCTTGTTATAAGACCAGACTGGACATGGATCTATCATTATTAATAAAATTGCAGTTTTAATCTAGCTCAATGAAGCCTACAAAAATTGTTCAAAAGGAAAAAAGCTCCAATCATCATCACTTTATTCTAAAAATCTCTTACAATAAAGATCATCTTGCCTTTTTTGTGGGAGAATTATAAAAATGGTATTTACAGTAAACACTTTCAATACACTTTTAGGCACTACCTTGAGTCAGACGCACCAAATTTCAGCTGTTCCCAAAGTAGTAATTTTGATTATACTCAAGATCACACCTCCGCAGCATGTTTTCTGACTGCATTAGAAGCTCACCTTGGCTGAGCTGTCACACAAGCCAAGTGCTTAACTCTCTCTCTCTCTAGTAAAAAAGCTTTTTCAGCCACACATGGATGAGATGAATCCTGTTCCATATAACACACATCCAAATGCACAGTGTGTAGCAATAGCTAATCTCTAGTGGGGGGTGGAGGGAGAGAGACTCCCCTGGAAAAGCCTGGAGAGGTCCCAGCTGCCCTCCCTCCTCCTCCGTACCTTCACATTTGAGTCCTTGTTTGACCAGCCCCCAGAGCAGGCTGCCGCAGTGGTCGCAGAAGGTCGGGCTCATGTAGTTGTAAACTTTGAAGCGATGAGGCATGTCAATGTTGAAACGTTCCTTTTGAAACTGAGGGCAGGGAGAGGGGTGAGGCACTTTACCCAAAACAGGAGCAGCTTCTTAGAGAAAACAGCCTGGATATTGCAAAGCTACAACATCCCTCATCTAGCAGGGAAAGAATCTGCCCATCAAATACTACCCACCCCCTTGTAGGGCTTTAAACTACTTTTCTTGCTTTAAAGTTTCATCCACTACATGTTACATATGATCGTCAAGAGAAGACGAGTTGTGCAGCCAAGCACCTCCCAAATGGACTTGGCCGTTTCTATACAAGGTTTTGTTAATTCAGGAGTGTTTAATTACATCATTACACTCTAACTATATTGTTCCAACTCTTACCATTGTGTCCCTGCTGTTGGCTGCAGTGCCAGTACACCTCCCAATGATTTTATCAATGCATTTCTTATGAATAGCAGCATTGCATTCTTCAAGACATGCACAAGAAAAAAAAGCATTCCTTCAGATAATAAATACATGGGATGAGGTGTTCGCATTTCATAGCATAATGTGAAAAACAAACTCCTTTCCAGCATACTATATACTCCAAAACCTTTCTTTTCTATCAAGATGATCTTTAAGCTGATTCCCTCAATTTTCTTTTATCATAACCTCTATTTCTAAACTAGATCTGCCTCCATAGAAAATGCCACTAACAGAAGGGCAATATTATGCTTTTGAGTTTTACCCTTTGATATCTCCCCTGCTGTTTGGAGTAACGCACAGAGATCTATGCTAAGTCAAAAGTGCTTTTCAATTCAGCTGTAAAACCCCTCAATAGTTGTAATTCATTTTAGAAAAGGTGTCACAAAAACTGCTGTCATAAATGAGTGCAACTTTTCAACAGCATTACACACTTATGAGAAGAACAGCCAAGTCTAAATCTTGATACTAAAAACTCAGGAATCATAATTAGACAGCCTTAGGTTATTGTGCAAAACTGATGTTTAACATCTACTACTACCTATGGTGATGATGCACTGTGCCATGCCTATTTACAGAAGATTTTTCAGCAGTAACTATTAGATCTACAGATTCATGTGGAAAGTAGCACAAGAAAAAGGTAAAATCAACTTACGCCTACATTTGTATCCCTGCTTGTTGAGTCCCCTGAAAAAAAAAATTATAAAGAAGGAAATCAAAAACATACGCTTGCTGGCATAAAAGGTGGGGTTTTTTTTAATTTTTACCATGTCAACCAATCAATCCTTTGTCTATGGGAATATTTGTTCCAATTAATAAACTCGTCTAAATTCTGCTATTCAGAATCCTCTGTCTTAGGAAAGCAAGGTTTAGAAGATAAGGTAGTGTGTTTTGATAGACCAGCAAATTAGGAGGGAAACCCAGAAAAGACAGGGTTTCAATCACACAGGACGTCCTCCTGATCTGACTGACTATGAAAATGGCCTTACTACGAAAGGGATCCAACCTCTTGCTCTCTACGGGTCTTTACTCCGCTATCAGCCACTTCACATGTCAAAGTTTGAGCATTATTTTCTCAGATCCACCCACCTCACTCTCTTGTGAAAGAGCTGCTGTTGATCACGGGCCAGATCTCACTTGATGCCGATGGAATTTTTGCCAATTATTTCAGTGACAAAAATGTTCTATTTTTTTAATGTGAAAGAGACAACTATAGTTCTTAGGTATAACAGTGCTCTTAGTAAATACATAATTTCCACTTCCCAACACATATGAATTTACATGTCATGTTTTGTCTCAATATACCTGAAGCAAATTTTGCAGTTATTTGGCCCTTGGGAGTGGGGGAAGCTTAGCGTTTCCTTCTTACCATACAAAGTCTTTGCAGACAGAGCAAAACGTAGGTTGTCCAAAGAAGGTAGCAATAAATTCATGATTTTTGATGTAGTGGATTTTGGCTTGCTTGATAGCTCCTCTCCTGTTCATAGTTACTGTCCCCTCCTCTTCCCTCATTGACTGTTTGCAGTCTAAGGGGGAGACAAAACGACACACTTTTAATACTTTAAGGCATTACAAAGATTAATATTTGCTTCTCCAAAAAGTTCAGTTTGCTTTTCTGTTTCAGACTTGTGTTTCTATTTATTTTACACCTGCATTCTGCAGACTTTCCATCCAACAAGGGTGGAACACATGCACGCGCTGCCTCCTAAGGTGCTTCTGTGTCCTTGTTTGCAAGTGCTTCCCTCTCCTGCTCATTCAGAAGAAGCCTTCACCAAATGAGCTGAGAGGAAGAAG